TCATTATCAACCCGACATTTGACACTTGCAATAAATCATAAGAAAAGATAAACAGATTTAGGTCAAGCATAGTTGATAATGCAAAATAGCTAGTGATTATTCATAGGTTCGAATCATTATCAATGTTGTTTTTGTGATGTTCATTGAGAAATGTTTGTCATGTAAATCAAATAAATGTCCGATAATTTATCGGTATAATGTATGAAGAATTTTGGTAGGCAGCGGCTTGGCTCTACCCCTGACATCGTCTGCCTACAAGGACAACAAAAAAAATACTTATTTTATTGCCCTTATGGGCAGATCTTGTCTACCCATATGGCCCACCTGATGGTGAGTGGTTACCGTCGCCCATGGACGTCAACAATGCCAGGGGCAGAGCCAAGCCACTGCCTACCGTTTGGCATTAAACGTCAAAATTTATAAGCGGCTCATGTGAATCTACAAATTTAAATGAATGCGATTATTCTATGGTGACTTAAGAACACTTATTTGAAAGTGGAAAAAATACAAGATTAAACAGTCTACCAAGATAAATTCGAATCAAAATCAGGCACTAAAAAGATTCTGGGAATTTCTGTAAACACATAAGGGCTTCCAACAATGTATTCTAAACAAAATTAACAGTCAACAAGATGGCTTAGTGTTCACTGAAGATGCAACATAGGCATATAAACTACTCAAAACAAAATAGGGCCCACTCTAAGTTAATCTCGAATTTCGTCTAAAAAAAATTGTTTGGTAGTAAATAGTGAAGTTAAACATTTCGAAGTATTGTTGACATGTTTATCTAACGTAATCAATGTTTCAAGTCAGGAATTAAATGGTGTGTAGACAAAAAAATTGAATTACTCCAAAAAACGTGTATTACTCAAATTCTCAGTCATTTGTACCTCAGTCACATTCTGAATGTTAGAGTCGCACGTCTACTTTTTTTCATTTTGACTTGATTTCGGTGTTACTCGCGATCATTATGCCTGGTTCTCGGCGCCATATGGATGTGGAAACAGCAACAAGAGCAGTGTTCATGCTTCAGGAGGGAATATCTCAGAGATCAGTGGCAAGGCGTCTTGGTGTGTCGCGACGGGCTATTCGAAACGCGTGGGAACGCTTTCTAGAGTCAGGTAGTGTTACGAGGAGATCTGGATCAGGAAGAGCGCGAGCTGCAACCGTCCAGGAAGACCGGTATATCAGATTGACTGCACGTCGAGAGCGTACGATTTTCTCCCGTGTCTTACAAAATCGACTGCGGCAATCGACTGGCCCACGAATTGGTGATCAAACCATTCGAAATCAGCTCCATGAAGACGGACAACGTTCCAGATCTCATGTTATTCGTCTAAAATTGACAAGAGCGCATCGTGCAGCACGTTTGAGGTTTGCTCGCGAGCACGCGGAGTGGACAACGGACAACTGGAGAAATGTACTCTTTACGGACGAAAGTAAAGTGAAGTTTTTCAGCGACGATCGTCGAGTGCGCGTGTGGAGAAGAGAAGGAGAACGTTTTTCAGAACCTTGCATACATGAAAGGGATCGTTTTGGAGGTCCAAATGTTATGGTGTGGGCTGGAATAAGCTTGCTCGGTAAAACTGAGGTGGTAATTCAGGAATAATTCGGCCCCCATAATGTCATCCCATTTTCACAAAGAGTGGGTTAAAACTTCGTCTTTATACAAGACAATGCTCGCCCACATACAGCGCGAACAACCCAGAGAGCTTTCTCTGAGGCCAATATTACGGTTTTACCGTGGCCGGTCATGAGTCCCAATCTTAACTTCATTGAACATTTATGGAACCAACTGAAAAAAAGCCTCAAATCGAGCTTCAGTAATGTGACTAATCGGCAAGAGCTCATAAACGCCTTAAAATTGTGTTGGGGGCGAATACCCGAGGAAAACATCACCCACTTGATTGAAAGTGTCCCAGATAGGGTCAGAGAGTGCACACGGAACAGAGGAGGACCTACTCGCTATTAAGCACCATCAAACTCATTGATTTACTCAATAATAAAAATCAAAATCAAACTTTACTTAAATCAATAATTTCTGTCAACTTTCCTAAAAACTGTAAATTTTGACTAAATTCCATAAAATTGGCAAAACTTACTCTTGTTAATGTTTACACACTTTCAAAAACCTTAATTTATTCATTCCTAATCATAAAAACTGAAAAAAAAGAAGAATCTGTGAAATTCACTTAAAAAACATGGTGGGCCCTATTTTGTTTTGAGTAGTTTATGTAGGTAGTTGCTGAATGCCAGATGAATTGCTCTCAAGGTTAATAAAAACCTATTATAGTCTCAACGCAGAACCGATGCTATACGTGTTCTGTACTGCAGACCACGTACCAGTAAGCGCAGCGTTGGGCGTCCCCCTGCCAGTTGGAACGATGACTTGCGGCGATATACTGGGAAAGATTGGATGCGGAAGGCGAAGGATCGTTCATTGTGGTGGACTATGGAAGAGGCCTACATCCAGCAGTGGAGAGATACAGGCTGATGATGATAGTCTCAACGAATTATAAAAACTGCGTTTACCCTATAAAGTATTTCGCTTAAGTAAATAAGGTCGAAATTGGGAGCTCTCTTCTTCGACGTCGCAAAAGCATTCGACAAGTCTGGCACAACGGTTTGATTTTCAAACTATTCAACATGGGCGTTCCGGATATTCTCGTGCTCATCATACGGGACTTCTTGTCGAACCGCTCTTTTCGATATCGAGTCGAGGGAACCCGCTCCTCCCCGGGACCTCTCACAGCTGGAGTCCCGCAAGGCTCTGTCCTCTCACTCCTCCTATTTAGCTTATTCGTCAACGATATTCCCCGGTCGCCGCCGACCCAGTTAGCTTTATTCGCCGACGACACAACTGTTTACTATTCCAGTAGAAATAAGTCCCTAATCGCGAAGAAGCTTCAGAGCGCAGCCCTAGCTCTAGGACAGTGGTTCCGAAAATGGCGCATAGACATCAACCCAGCGAAAAGTACGGCGGTGCTATTTCAGAGGGGAAGCTCCACACGGATTTCCTCCCGGATTAGGAAGACGAATCTCACACCGCCGATTACTCTCTTTAGACAACCCATACCCTGGGCCAGGAAGGTCAAGTACGTCAAGTGGGCGTTACTCTGGATGCATCGATGACATTCCGCCCGCATATAAAATCAGTCCGTGACCGTGCCGCGTTTATTCTCGGTAGACTCTACCCCATGATCTGTAAGCGGAGTAAAATGTCCCTTCGGAACAAGGTGACACTTTACAAAACTTGCATAAGGCCCGTCATGACTTACGCGAATGTGGTGTTCGCTCACGCGGTCCGCACACACATAGACACCCTCCAATCTCTACAATCCCGCTTTTGCAGGTTAGCCGTCGGAGCTCCGTGGTTCGTGAGGAACGTTGACCTACACGACGACCTGGGCCTCGAATCTATCCGGAAATACATGAATTCAGCGTCGGAACGGTACTTCGATAAGGCTATGCGTCATGAGAGTCGCCTTATAGTTGCCGCCGCTGACTACTCCCCGAATCCTGATCACGCAGGAGCCAGTCACCGTCGATGCCCTAGACACGTCCTTACGGATCCATCAGATCCAATAACCTTTGCATTAGACGCCTTCAGCTCTAACACTAGGAGCAGGCTTAGTGTCCCCGGTAACCGTACTCGTCAAACTCGACAAAGAGTTCGCCGTGCAACCTAACCCATGAATCAGCTCGCTGAGTTTCTCGCCGGATCTTCTCAGCGGATCGCGATTCCGATCCGGTAGTAGATTCATTCGCGAAGCAGCTGCTCTTGAGCTGTTAGGTCTCCTTCGGAGGCGCTCGGGTGGCTGTTAGCAAATCCCACCCTCCTGGCTGAGCCTTTGCTCGCCCACCTATCCTGATGAAACTGGAAAGGCCTCCGGGCCACCAGAAATCCTTCAATCATAAAAAAAAGGTCGAAATTAATTGGTTTTAAGAATATTTACTGGACAGAAAAATAGAAAAACAGTTATGAATAGTTTTTTTTAATTGCCCTTGTAGGCAGACGAGCATACGACCCATGATGGTGAGGGGTTACCTTCACCCACAGACTTCAGGAATACCAGGGCAAAGTCAAGCCGCAGCCTACCGTTAATTGTTAGGCTTGCTCTTTGGTTTCATCTTGAATTTTTCAGATGTTAATTGTCTCAAAGTAATCGTTTTCGCAAAGTAAATCGCATCAGATAATTATTTTTTCACTAGCTGAATATCTGCATACAATCATCCCCATTAAAACTGCGATAGCATTATGTACACATAACTGGATTTTAATGACCAAATAATAATTAACAAGTAATCACTGGAGAGGTAGCTACATAAAGGTAAGTGCGTGGTTATAATTTATGTACACTATATTGTAGCAATTTTTATATTGCATTATATTTTTTTCGGAAATCCTGCTTCAAATTATGGACAAGCTAGTGCAGCGGCAAACTAGAAATGAAATGACGAAGCATGGGTGGGATGGAACATAAGTCATTGCAATATAAATCCATGTCAACGGGATTGGATAAATTTTCAACATCCGTTTCGTGTATTATGAAAATGTTTATTATTGTCAGACGAAAACAAGATATTTTTATTTTGGAATAGTGTGATAAGTTCAAATTGTGCATAAACACTCAACAAAATTAAACGATCACGATTGACTTCCACGGTGAAGGAATAACATCGTGTAATAAAAATGAAACCCACGAAAATATAATTTGCGTAATTACTGGCAGTAGCACCACTTGTTAGTCCACGCGGGTAGGTACCACCACCCTGCCTATTACTGCCGTGAAGCCGTAATGCGTTTCGATTTGAAGGGTGGGGCAGCCGTTGTAACTATACTTGAGACCTTAGAACTTATATCTTAAGGTGGGTGGCGCATTTATGTTGTAAATGTCTATGGACTCCAGTAACCACTCAACACCAGGTGAGCTGTGAGTTCGTCCACATACCTAAGCAATAAAAAAAACCGAAATATCGTAAACAAAATAAATATAATTTCACTCCTTTAAAGTGTCCTTCAATTTCTTGCCCTTGGTCTCGGGTAATATCAATGTGAATACAATGGCTATGATGGGTAGGATACAGAAGATCAACGGGGCCACCCAAAAAGGCTTAGAGCTCGCCACAAAAGGCGCCATCATGGCCCCCAACTTCGTCCCCCCTGTGTTCAAACCGAAACCCATACTTCTCATAGATGTTGGATACAGTTCTGTAACGAAGGTAAATTGGATGGAGAATGTAACACACGATGCAGCAACTGCTATAACTCCGAGCAAGATTGAGTACCAAGTGTCGGCTGGCACGAATATCAGAAGGCCCATTGCTATAGCGGTAATAAGCAAAGAGATTGCTGACGAAGATCTTCTATTGCACCTTTTGGCGATCACCATTGACATTGGAACTGTTGGTGTCTGAAAATCAGAGATATCTATGAATTATTTTCCTTCTCAACCTATTTTAGTTATTTATTTTATGGTAAACAAGCCTCCCAGTGTTGTCATTGTGCTTAGCAGTTAGCAGAGACGTGATTACCTCCGCCCACTTTATGAGCTGGGCTCTAAGTCTTAACTGCTCTGTATTTGTTATAGTTATACGTGGACAAAAAGTCCAAATACCAATCTAGTATTACGGCCTCAAGTCTAAATATGGTTGAGGGTATGTCCATGGATTCCGGTATACACTTAACACAAGGTCCGTCATAAATTTGATAATAAATAAAAAATAAATCTTACCACTCCCAATCCCATGATCATCACAATTAAATAAATATTCAAACTGGAACCAAGACGGGAAATGTACTCATTGATTCCAAAAAACGAAATCCCCGACACAAATAACGAAATAATTGAAGACACTGTGATCACGGCTAGTTCTTTGGTTCGGAACAAATCGAAGTACGTATGATATTGTGCATCGCTTTCCTTGATTTTTATTTCAGAAATGCGTTGTGCAACAATATTTTCGATTTCCGTTGGACTCCGTTTGTTTCTGAAAGCAATATCATCGTATTTCGGTTGGGTAGTTAGATTTTGAAATTTTTTTCGTATCAAAATTGGGTTAGCGTCTGTCTCAACCATCTTTTCTCTCTCGATTTAAGGTCACAAATTTTTTAGCACCACTGTATGTAGAAACGGAATGCGTAAACATAAAGTTATCTTTCGTGAAAATGAGACAGCCAGTCTCTGAAAGTTTACCGTTTGCAGCGTGTAAACTTAACACATATTTGTTTATTCACGACATTAAGATGAAGTTCAACTGTGCAACTACTGCCTTGCCTTTTAAATAGCTATTCTGCAGACATTAAATTAGATCACAAGTGCTTGGCATATTATTATAGCTAATTCGTCACTAGTACTTGGAATCTTGAAAACTATTTTATGCCATGTACCACTTGGCTCTTAACTTTCCCTCTAGAATATTTCCTGAGCACTTTGATCCCTTCTTTTGGCATTACTAATTTTCATGAATAGTGACTACCACCATCATCACCATCCCGATATGATTTATACAGTCAAAGCTATAAAGCGCATTAATACCAAATATATTATTTTTGTCAGAGAAATGGAAGTTGTTACAGTTTAAAATTCCAATGAACTATTCTGATTCTAATTTTTCAATGCTCCTAATCTTACACACGACTCCGAAATCCAAGCATCTTGAGAAAAAGCCACGATCAAATAATATGTTGGTGTAATAATTACCAACACAAATAATTACGAATCAAATATTACAAAATTAAATGGATTTTACTTACATTTTTGCAGCTTTTGTCAACACCTCAATGGCTGCATCGGATTTTCCATTAGCCACCAACCACCTCGGTGATTCGGGTACGAAGAACAGCAGTACCACTATCAAAATGCTAACAACTGTGAATCCAAACAGATACATTTTCCAAGTAGACGAATAATATGCAAACGCAGCCAATGATGCTTGAGCGAAGCCATCCGGTACTAATCCTAAGCTGACCCCCATCTCCCTATAGCTCGCTCCTACGGTTTCCGCTATTATTATCGACGATAGACCCAAAAAGCCACCTGAACCGACGCCGATGCCAAATCGAAAGCAAAGAAACATAAAATAATTTGTTGAAAATATAATAGCGATCATAAAGGCTATGTTTGTTAGCCCTGCTAAAAAAATAGCTTTCCCACGTCCAAATCTGAAAATGAAAGATTCATATGAATTAATCAGCTCCATTGAGTAGTTTCTTACAAAATAATGTAGACTATACAATGATTGACACTTAAACACTGAACCATTATCACCGAGATTGGAATCTCACAGTGAATTGAGTATAGTTGGAAATAATGCACCAAATAATTTTCAGCTCTTTTCTTCCACAAGTAAATACTTCATTTTATATTAAGCCTTCCCATTCGAAGCCATATTAAAGAAATAACAACAGATATTTAGTACTACATTACAAGAAACACAGATGCTAAAAATTTATTTTTCCTGTTGAATTTTACTCATTTGTGAAACTTTTCATTGGCATCGTTTTTAATTGGTTAGTCTTGGGTAGATGAATGCCCACATATGGCGATCCTGGCGGCTATGAGATTGCTTAATTTCATTATCCTGCTACCTGTTTTCAGGATTTGAAATATCGGCATAGTCGCATCGATCGATATGAATACACTGTTGTATCATTTGGGCCACATGAAAATTTCTAGGACTATCAGGAATAAAATAAAATAATAATATATTGCGATCATCATTATCCACAACCTAACCTGTCAGACATCCAGCAAAACGTAGACACTCCAGCCAAAACACCAAACATTAAAGCAGTCTGTGTAAAATTCGCTAGCCAAGCTCTGTCACAAATCAAATTGAACTTAGATATGACTGTTTCTTCAAATATTTCTTGAGAATATTCATATTCGATACAATCTGAATAGCATGTGAAGTTTTCAGGGTGTATAGTCCCGTTCTCTTTAAAATGAATACATCTAAAGCTTTGCGCCGGAATCAGGAATAGTACTGATAGACAATTCCATATGCCAATGAATCTTGTCATGGTGACAATACTACATACAGATATCTGAAAGAGACCGCATTCCCCTATGGATTTTACGATATAATCGTCTTCGTAAATTTCTTTTTCATCCCGACTGATGTTAACAGTGTATTTTTTATTTATTTTAAACACGTTTTTCATTTTCATCTTCAACCATATGCCTCTGTGTATCCGTGTATTGTAATTTCCGTGTTCTTCAGTCACGCGTTACGCGACTTCTGAAAATAATGAATATTCGTTAGGTAGGTATAAAAGTTTGAAAGACAACAAACTTGACGAGTAAAACAGTTGTAATCGAATCTAAGTCAAATTCATTAGAAATGTCGGCAGTTCAAAGATGATTTTAAATATCGCGTGTGATTTTAATATCGTAATATAAACTGTAGAAGTTAGACGTAACATAATGACTAAGGAAAGTTGGACGTAACATAATGACAATAATAAAGGCGATATTAAACAGTGGAAGTTTTACTGGTGGTAGGACCTCTTGTGAGTCCGCGCGGGTGGGTACCACCGCCCTGCCTATTTCTGCCGTGAAGCAGTAATGCGTTTCGGTTTGAAGGGTGGGGCAGCCGTTGTAACTATACTTGAGACCTTAGAACTTATATCTCAAGGTGAGTGGCGCATTTACGTTGTGGATGTCTATGGGCTCCCCACTTAACACCAGGTGGGCTGTGAACTCGTCCACCCACTAAGCAATAAAAAAAAAGTAATTGTAATTCAAATCGCGAATTTCGAACAAATTCCTAAACAGGTTACTAATTGATGTGCATTCTAAATTGGATATTGGGTATTAGCAAATTTAATATTTGAATTCAAATAATCATTAACAGCACATAGAACAGTATCCAACGATCAACATCAAATGGACCACAGTCAATGGATCATACCAAAATATGTTTGAGAGAATTAATATGGTCTTTACTGATGTATTTATTCCTAAAACTGTAACATTAAAAAACAAAACGGTGTTCAGCGAGTGGGCCACCACCGGAGTGTACAAAAGTAGAAAAAAATTGTATGATCTGTATTCTGAAAAAGCTTATAATAATGATGAAACATTTCATCAATATGTCAGGAACTATTCCAANTTGTGCCGATGAGTAGGTTACATAAGATACGAAATTCATTCGGGTGTTTGTCTGTGCGCCTCTACAACAAAATCCCACAAGATGTTCAGAACCTACATATACATAGGTTTAAGAAAACTATTAAAGAACATCTGTGCAATAAAGCTTACTATAAAGTCAATGATTATCTAGAAGATTGCACAAAGTGGGAATGAGTTGCTCACTCCGGGAATTTCAATATTGTAAAATTGTTATGTTATAATTACTTATTGTAATATGAATATTTAAAAAAAAAAAATATTTAAAATAAAAATAAAAATCAAATATTAAAAAAAAAAAAAAAACATGCCCGCTGAGTTTCTTGCCAATTCTTCTCAGGACGGAGGCTAATTATTGTGAATTGGCGGTAATTCTTTTGACGTTCAATAAGTATGTACTTTCATTTATGTTGAATAAAACTTTTTTGATTTGATTTGATTTGATTTGAAGTCGGTGTCTGGTTACTCAACGCTATAAAAAAATAGTTTAACTCGTCTATAGAATGTCTCGTTTAATAAGAACATGTTTGAAGGACTCGTAATAACACAGCAGGGCCTCGGAACCCGTAATTACGAGTTGTTTCGACTCAACAACTATAGTTGCTGTAAAACGTTTTACGTATTCCGTGATTATATTAAAAAATACAGTTTACATATTGAATTTTATCGCATTGTTGATACAGAAGTTGGTATAACTGACTGTAAAGCGTTATCAATTACGTTAAAAGATATTCAGAGTAACAGAATTATTGTCTTGTTTGTTTTTGTTGCATGTTGTTAAGTTCAAATCTAGCTTAATTTCAAAATGAAACTTTAGCACTTAAGTTTGCCTAGACGTGCGTCACAAATTGTGTAATTAAATGAAAAAATTGTGAAATAATAGTTTGAATTATAAGGGACTAGCTGTACCCGTCCGCTTCGCTTGGCATTATTAAAATATTTCTCACCCCCACAAAGATTCTCGTCATTAACGCCCCCGCAACTGGTGTAGGGAGTCCAACACTCACATAAATATTAGCCTGTCCATTAAGTACATGTATTTTCTACATGGATATCAAGTTTCAAGTCAATCGTATGCATGGTACAGTAGTTATAACGGAACATCCGTAAAAACACTGTAGTTTTATATATTAATATAGATATAGATAAATAAAAAATAAATAAATAAATTATTCTATTAAAATGATCATCATCGAAGCAATCCTAATAGTTTTACAGTTAAAACATATTTTCCAGCGACACTACAGTAATTAATGAATAAACAAATGTGTTTTTTTTAATTCCATTTTCAAGATTAAATTAGGTTTCATAAGCTATTCAAATTTGATTTTAAATTCGTCATTACATAGCGCCTTAAAAATCTTATAGCAGTGATTGGTCTTTTGTGAACCCCCTTCAAGTTACTGACTATACAAACGACTGTATATCCAATGGCAAATTGACAATTATACCATTATAATGGTATCATTACCGTAGATGCCCCTCGGCTCCGATGCATAAAGCCAATGATTGCCTAACAACAACAAAAAAGGCCAAAACATTTTCAGATATTCTCCCTAAAAAAAAACCAATTTGTGAAGAAAAACATCGAACATAGTATTTACACAAATTACAAGCGGTGTGCATTAATGGCGATCCGTCAAAAACCGTTCAATCTACCAACTGACAAACCGCTTCACTCATGCGTTCAGTTTGCTCCTATAATTTTCGTTCTCAGCAGTCAGACTAAAGAGGCTCACTCTCTAATCACCTGAATTACGCCTTCCAGAGCACTCACGTTCAGATTTATGGTCGCCACGAGGTATGCTGGATAGTCATTATGATGATTTGGCATGCCATCATGTCAGACGGTAATGTGGGGTTGCGGGAATATTGATGGGATCTTGCTAAGTTGCGGCTGCATCGTGTTATCTCGACTCTCTCAATCGGAGCGCGGTTGTATCGAGTTAAAGTGGAAATTTTAATATGCCTATAAAATTTACGAAGTGTGCGACGAATTTCGATATTACTCATTGCATTTTGGTTGTAACATTATTTGTATTTAAATTTTTTTTATTAGGTATTATCAAACCGTCATAAATTATTTGCATGCATAGGCAGAACAAGCATCTCATCCTCTTCCCGTCTGTGTTGTAAAAGGCGATTAAAGTATATCACCGAACACTAGACGCCTAGCTCTTCGAGTTTTTGATCGGAGCACTGTGATCGCATTTACTGTTAGTAAATTCAATCCTATTTCTAACGTGCCGCATTCATAGGTTCCGACTTGAAGAGTGAGGTCATTAGTTATTCAACGACTTCGACTTCATATCGGAGGCGGCATTTATGGTTTGATCTCCCTAGACCCCTATTAACACTTGAGGGAGTTCGTATAGAGTCCCTTCTTTATTTCGCCTGGTTGTGTTTTATGTAATTAACACCACAGTTGGAACAATATAAATTTTATTGTTGTAGCGGCATAAAGTAATTACATTAAATTAGTTATTATCACATTATGAATTATTTTTATGTTTTTCATATTTGGCGGTAAAAAGGTATTGTCACAGACTATCTTCTTTTTCCCACATCTCGGGCGTTCCGGCTTACGCATAATAAAACGCCACACCACCCCCCTACGGAGAAGGAGAATCCGCAGAAAAAGAGAAAAATGATCATAGGTCGAAAGGTTTGGAGAAGTGGACTCTGCGACCTGACCGGGTGGTATATTGAGGTGTATGTGTAGGAGTAGCAGTTAGAGGTGCCGAAGGCACGAGTGGACATGAAGGGACATTAGTAGCATCCGGTTGCACTGGTTGAGGCACAGAAACCCGCGGTGCTGGTGCTGGAACGAGATCTACTAAAGAATTTTCGACGAAAGCTGGCTTAATTCTGTCGACACTGACCGTCACCTGTTTCCCTTTTACTTCAATCGACCACGTTTTTCCGTCCTCGGCTCTAGATATAACTCTATGAGGACCAGAGTAGGGTGGTTGCATTGAACGTCTAACCGAATCCTCCCTGAGCATGACATGGGTGGCGGTGGAAAGATTTTTGAATATGAAAGGTGATGGCTTAGTGTGTGAGGAACATGGAGTGGGACGCAATTTAGACATACGCTGTCTTAACTTTACGACAAAATCCGTTGGGTCCTCGAAGCCAGAAGGACCGGGAGGTACTAACAGTTCCCCTGGAAGCGTTAATGTTTCTCCGTAAAGCAATTCCGCTACTGTTGCTTGTAGGTCTTCTTTAAAAGTCGAACGCATTCCTAATAAGACCAAAGGTAATGCATTCAACCACGAATCATCATAACACATCAGAGAGGCCTTTAATTGTCTATGCATGCGCTCCACGAGTCCATTGGAACAAGGGTGGTAACTAGTAGTGCGTATACGTTTAGTACCACATAAATTAGTAAGGCGTCTGAAAAGGTCCGACTCGAACTGTCGTCCCTGGTCGGTAGTGATGACAGCAGGTACTCCGAATCGAGCAATCCAACCGGCTACAAAGGTGCTTGCCACTTCTTCTGCTGTTATTCCGTGCATAGGCCAAACTTCGGGCCATCGAGTGTAGCGATCCACAGCAGTCAGGCAGTATTGGAAGCCAGAACAAGATGGAAGAGGGCCAATTATGTCAATATGGACATGCTTGAGCCGAGACGTAGGACTGGAGAAATGTCCAAGTGGAGATTTTATATGCCGCGTCACCTTACTTCGCTGGCAAGCAACGCAGGTTTGGCACCAATAACGGCAATCTTTGGCAATGCCAGGCCACACGAAACGGTCTGAGATCAATCGAATGGTTGATCTAGTACCAGGATGGCTAAGATTATGTAGCTGAGCAAAAATCTTCTTTCGCATAGGTTCCGATACAAATGGGCGTGGTCGCCCTGTTGACATGTCGCAGACCAAAACAGTGTTTGTGCCAGGAACTACGACGTTCTCTAGTTTTAGAGAAGAATTCGCATCGTTACGATACTTTTTCAATTCGTCGTCAAGTTTTTGGCAAGCGGAGAGAGCAGAATGGTCAGTTTCAAAACTAACAGCTTCGATGCGGGACATGG